TTTTAATACATTATATTCCACGGTCATTAGCATCTGAAAGGACATTTTCCATTGCATGCGATTGTGTCACAGCCACAGTAAACGGAGCAGTGGGGATGACGTCGAGGGCTGCTGTGCCGTTTCCATCCAGCGCTGGTGCCTTTGACTTCACATCGCCCTCAGGTGAAGACTTTTCTAGAAAGGAGTTTTTACCAGCATTGCCATCTGTAAGAAGTCTGTTGCAGCAACAATGCCATTTATTTAATAGGACTTTGCATATTTACCTTCTAGATCAGATCCACTTCTGACATCTTCAGTCTGAACAGTCACCTCGTCTGATGTAGAATGTGAACCAGGACCCTTTCCATCTAGGACAGAAGTATAGTGTCCCTCACAGCTTTATTTGCAATGCAGAAAATGCTTGAACACCACAGGACTTCAATTAAAACCCATCCTCGAATGATTGATCAGCCGATTTGTAGGTCAACTCACCAACTTTTAGGACACTTCTCCACTGGCTTCCATACCGTGAAGGTCCAGTGACTTCACGTACAGCAGGAAGCTCCTCTGCAGGTATTTGCTGGTTGGCAGGAAAGATAATCATTGGACCCACTCTTGCATCCTGTCCCCACACTAGAGACAAGGATCACAAGTCCAAAACCATGTGTAAAGGCTCATGGCACAACACATTTAGGCGACTGAAGGCATCATGAAGACTGCAGAGAGAAACCGAACCCGCATTAGTCCTCTTGCTCCAGGACAGATCAGGTTCTTCTGGCAGTGCAAACCCACGAGGACCAAACTTGCCAGGACTGCTGGGCTGATTGTGACTTTGACAAGCCCCACATAAATAGTCATTACCATCAGCTGACCTCCATCTGAGAAGCAAACATTCAGGCCTCCTCATTTACTCTCGATGTGTGTTAGAGTAATTTTGGACTGGAGCTCACTTGCCTGTCGTTTACAAAAGAGCACGCTTTATTTGGTGCTTCTGCACTATTCTTTGCAGCAGCAGTCAGGTGACATGTGATGTAGAGCTGTTAGAGGGGACAAGAGTAAATACCTACAGGTGTAGTAATTACTTAACCCACCTCAAGTAGAGCCTCACCTGTCCCTGGTCCTCATTATAAAACTTGAAAGCATCAATGGTCAAGTGGAGCTTGTCATCCTCGATCCTGGAAAAGAAGTGAGACCTAGAACCTGGAAGCTCAGAGTCAACCAAGCACCTGTGAAGGATAATAGAATGAGAGGAGAGCTGGTAGTGAACAATCATCCAAGCAATGCCAAAATAAAGTTGTACGCTTGAACCAAACTAACAGAATTCAGCTTTGAAAAGTCAAACCAGCTAACCTGGATTCATCAAGTTATAGTTTGTGGTCTTCACTCGGACGCAAACATAACTGGATTTCGATTTCAATTTCTTAAGACATCTCACAATAAGAACTGTGTGCAAACCAATATGTAAACACAGGTTTTCTAGGTTCCCGTTTGAGTCACCATGAAGTGCTTACCCGTTGTCAATAAAGACGTATCTGGGATCAGAGTTCATTTCGGGTTCCAGCGTCGCCACACAGCTGCTGACAAACACTCGGAGCGCCATGTGATGTCCAACTCTGACTGAGGCTTCGATGGCGATGGGCTCACCGATGTAAAACACATTAGAGCTTCTTTCATGGAGCCAGTCATCTGCAAAGAAATTACAAATCAATAGAGGCTCAAATAAGTCAACACATGAGAAATGAACCAAACCTACTTGTCATAATTCTCAAGTCAAACTGCAAAGTTCCCACAGCAGTTTGGGTCGACGTGAAGGGGATCCAGGTGGGAGAGAGTGAAGAGCTGGACAAACTGTACTTCCTGAGAGGCAGAACAAGTATCGTTTTAACTTTAGTGAGACTGTCTCACGAGATGAGCTCTGGAAGACAGACCTTTCATAATGACACTCGATTGGAATTACAGCCTCATCCATGCGAACAACCCCGTCTGGAGACGCCACAGGAGAGTAGATGAGCAGGTTTGTGTAGGCCAGAGTGTCTTCAGTCATCTGGATAGAAAGGGTGTTAAAAAAAATAAAACCACGTACATGTGAAATAAATGAAACAAATAAAAAAAAATTTAAAAAAAAGGAATCATTACCCATCGTTTAGTGCCGCAGTCCACGAGTGAAACATGTATCCTGAACTCATCCTCTGAAGACATTCTAGCGAAACAGTAATCATCGTACTCCACTCCAAGGCGCAATTCATCACCACAAACAGGAAATCCAACTCCAAACAGGTCAGCTTTGATGAATATCTCCAATGAGTCTGGATGGCAGGTCACTGAGACAGTGTTCACCGGTGCTCGTTCCTCAGCCGGAGCCTTTTGCTGGGGAGCGAGTTGGGAGCTCCCTGTGACCAGAGGTCCTTTAAATGAAGCATGTCGTGTGTAATCTTTGGGAGGAAAAGCCAAAGACAATCTGAAGCAGAGACCAACCAGGAGGTTAAGCCAAAAACACGAGGTCTTCATTTCACAAAACCTGGTGAACTAGCACAGACTACTTCCTGTCAGACCCACTAGGCAGCACACAGGTTCCATTGAAGCATATTTTACTTTATATTCTCACAGCCCAGCAATTCACACCTGAGACTGATCAGCATGTGATTGGTTTCACACCTCCTTGGAATCAAGGCCAAAGTTTGATCAAGTCTGTGGGGATTCAACCATAAATAAAAGGTTTGTATCATTGCTTGATTCTTTGGAATTTCAGAAAAGAGCTACAGTTCACTACAGTGCAAACTAAATTAAAACAGAAATGCATTTGAAACATTAAGAATTAAAATACAAATAAAAGAACGTTTTTACTAAAATAACTTTTATAACATTTTAAATTAGTGAACAATGACCATGCATAAATCATTTGCATTCCTTTTCTTGGAAAGTTCAATTTCTATAACAGTTACAACTTGATCAGAATAATATTTGAAGAGGCTGTCATCACAAATATTGGAATGCCTTTTAGAGGGAAAGACAATGATCATAACTCATTAACGGCATTGAAGAGCAACTACACAGACCGTATGTATATAAACCATAGACATTCAAAACACTGAGGCAGAGTACCCCTCTTAAATTATTTGTTCAGAATGCATTTATTTCCAGTAGAACTTGAATTAATGAGGGGGTCACACAAGATGGAAAATTCAATGGATGCCTGCAAAAACAAATGAGAATTTTAAGATATCTCGACATGACAGTCATTACCAGAAATTTTGGCGAGCTTTCAAACGGTAAATGCAATTAAGGATACAGTGTGTTGCAGTTTATAGAATATTTTAGCAGAAGTGGAATGTAGTATAAATATCTGAAACTAATAATAGTGTTTTTGTTAGCCTTGAATGAATCCTTGATGTTAGCATACAGCGAGTTCTCTGCACGTCTGTTTCTGGAGTAGCCGAGAACTGACACACCAACAAGTGGCCATAGTGGATTCATTTAGCCATTTTCAGTTACCTGGAGGCTTCTGTAGTTCTCCATCACGCTTGAGAAACTATGAACCAATTCTAGGCCCAATCGAGAACTCCCACTTTAACCCTAAATACTTGTATAATTGTAACAATTCTTCTCTCAGGTGTCTTCCAGCAAGCCTTAAAAACTGCTATTAATACACTTTTAAAGACGGCTATTTTAGACATCGCAACGATGAAAAACCAAAGGCCAATACCAGACCTGCCCATTACAAGTAAAATAGATGAAAAGGTGTTATTTCACAAGCTAAACTACCTCTTAACACAGACTTTGGCAGAATTTTGGTTTTAGGATTACTGGATCTCTGCGTGGCATTTGATACAGTCGACAATGACATACTACTGGACAGACTAAGCCACTTGGTGAGACTTTCTGGCACACCATTTGACTGATTTGAAACATACTTAAAAGACCGAAAACACTGTTGATCTGTGAGTAATTACACATCAGATCTGAAGAAAATTACATGCGATGTTCCACAAGGTTTAATGCTGGGGCCGCTACGTGCTTCTACGTGCTTCCAGTAGCTCAGATGATGGAAAACAACAGTGAGTTATTATAGTTATGCAGATGACACACAAATCTAAAGAAGGAAATACAAATTAAATTGCCTTGCCTTGAACCCTGAAGGACCTACAGACGTCCTCGGTCAAATGATAGAGTGCAACAGTCAAAACACATCCCCACGACAATGTAGAAATATATAATGTACAACTGACGTATTTTATTCATCTATGATTCATTCCTTGATTTGAACGTCTTCCAGGCTATTTTCTCATGAGATAAGAGGTATTTTCATATATTTTACTACATATTTGATAATATTTCTTCGATTAGATAGAATTCGTAGAGGCTGAGTTGACATGCGCCGTCCTCTTTGTTTACCTCCATGCTTCCACTAGTTATACCGTGTCACATTAACATGAAATGGGGGTAATTGGAAAAAATAGCATCCAGATATTCTGAAAAGAATCCTCCCACACTTCATCAGACTTTTGTCTTGAGTCTCAGGCCACATTTACACATAGCTGGGTATTTACAGAAACAAATATTTCTGCCCCTCCGTTTTCAAAAAAGTTTCTGTTTATATGAACCCGCATAAATATGGCCCCGGACGCCATCATAACTATGCCAAACCTGTAGTCGGCAGTGTAACAAGAAGGATAAAGACATGCAAACCCAATCAGAATTCTCAAAACCAACAACAAGTCGCATACTGTGTCGTTTGAACACCTAAAACTCTGTTGGACCTAGTTCACACGCAAACACAAAAACGGAGATTTCAAAAATCTCCACTTTGGCCGGAGTTTTTAGAAATGATCGTTTTCCGTGATAAAACCTCCGTTTTTGTGTAAATGGAAGTCCAAAATGCATGAAAGTATACGCGTTTTCCCATCGTGTAAACGGGGTCTCAGGTGGTGTGAAACCAATAACACAGTGATTAGTGGATGATTAGTCTCAGGTGTGCATTGCTGTCTGTTAGACTGCTTGTGTGAATATAAAGTAAAACATGCTTCACTGTTGAGACTTGTGTGCTGCCTAGTGACAGTCCCAACAGGAACACAGTTTGTAGTCGACGCTAGTTCACCGGGTATTTTTGTGAAATGAAGACCTCGTGTTTTTGGCTCAACCTCCTGTTTGGTCTCTGCTTCAGATCGTCTTTGGCTTTTCCTCCCAAAGATTACACACGACATGCTTCATTCAAAGGACCTCTGGTCCCAGGGAGCTCCCAACTCGCTCCCCAGCAAAAGGCTCCGGCCGAGGAACGAGCACAGGTGAACACCGTCTCAGTGACCTGCTATCCAGACTCGTTGGAGATAATCATCAAAGCTGACCTGTTTGGAGTTGGATTTCCTGTTCGTGGTGATGAATTGCGCCTTGGAGTGGAGTACGATGATAACTGTTTCGCTAGAATGTCTTCAGAGGATGAGTTCAGGATACATGTTTCACTCGTGAACTGCGGCACCAAACGATGGGTAATTAATTTTGTTTTAATTGTATATTTATTTGACCATGCAACAGTTTTTAACCCCCTGTCTATCCACAGATGACTGAAGACACTCTGGCCTACACAAACCTGCTCATCTACTCTCCTGTAGCCTCTCCAGATGGGGTTGTTCGACTGGATGAGGCTGTAATTCCAATCGAGTGTCATTATGAAAGGTCTGTCTTCCAGAGCTCATCTCTTGACACTGTCTCACTAAAGTTAAAACGATACTTGTTCTGCCTCTCAGGAAGTACAGTTTGTCCAGCTCTTCACTCTCTCCCACCTGGATCCCCTTCACGTCGACCCAAACTGCTGTGGGAACTTTGCAGTTTGACTTGAGAATTATGACAAGTAGGTTTGGTTCATTTCTCATGTGTTGACTTATTTGAGCCTCTATTGATTTGTAATTTCTTTGCAGATGACTGGCTCCATGAAAGAAGCTCTAATGTGTTTTACATCGGTGAGCCCATCGCCATCGAAGCCTCAGTCAGAGTTGGACATCACATGGCGCTCCGAGTGTTTGTCAGCAGCTGTGTGGCGACGCTGGAACCCGAAATGAACTCTGATCCCAGATACGTCTTTATTGACAACGGGTAAGCACTTCATGGTGACTCAAACGGGAACCTAGAAAACCTGTGTTTACATATTGGTTTGCACACAGTTCTTATTGTGAGATGTCTTAAGAAATTGAAATCGAAATCCAGTTATGTTTGCGTCCGAGTGAAGACCACAAACTATAACTTGATGAATCCAGGTTAGCTGGTTTGACTTTTCAAAGCTGAATTCTGTTAGTTTGGTTCAAGCGTACAACTTTATTTTGGCATTGCTTGGATGATTGTTCACTACCAGCTCTCCTCTCATTCTATTATCCTTCACAGGTGCTTGGTTGACTCTGAGCTTCCAGGTTCTAGGTCCCACTTCTTTTCCAGGATCGAGGATGACAAGCTCCACTTGACCATTGATGCTTTCAAGTTTTATAATGAGGACCAGGGACAGGTGAGGCTCTACTTGAGGTGGGTTAAGTAATTACTACACCTGTAGGTATTTACTCTTGTCCCCTCTAACAGCTCTACATCACATGTCACCTGACTGCTGCTGCAAAGAATAGTGCAGACGCACCAAATAAAGCGTGCTCTTTTGTAAACGACAGGTAAGTGAGCTCCAGTCCAAAATTACTCTACAACACGCATTAAGAGTAAATGAGGAGGCCTGAATGTTTGCTTCTCAGATGGAGGTCAGCTGATGGTAATGACAATTTATGTGGGGCTTGTCAAAGTCACAATCAGCCCAGCAGTCCTGGAAAGTTTGGTCCTCGTGGCTTTGCAACGCCAGAAGAACCTGATCTGTCTTGGCGTAAGAGGACCAATGCAGGTTTGGTTTCTCACAGAAGTCTTCATGATTCCTTCAGTCGCCTAAATGTGTTGTGCCATGAGCCTTTACACATGGTTTTGGACTTGTGATCCTTGTCTCTAGTGTGGGGACAGGATGCAAGAGTGGGTCCAATGATTATCTTTCCTGCCAAGCAGCAAATGCCTGCAGAGGAGCTTCATGCTGTTCGTGAAGTCACTGGACCTTCACGGTATGGAAGCCAGTGGAGAAGTATCATAAAAGACGAAGTTGGTGAGTCGGAATCTCACTAGGCTCACTTGCCTTAAATTCTGGTTCTGATGATTAAGCGCTTTTGCTTTGCAAAGAGCTGAGTCAAACTTACTTTTGTCCTAGATGAAAAGGGTCTTCGGTCACCATCCAGACGAGGTGACGGTTCACACTTTTGATGACTAGCAGACCTCTGTTAGGTGGAACTGATCTAGAAGGTAAATGCGCAAAGGATCTTTATTTCAAAATGGTGTGTGTGTGAGAGATATGTATAATTTCAATATCTTTTTTTAACAGACTTTGATGCTGGTAAAAACACTGCCCTTCTAAAGTCATAGCTGGCAGCACTGGATGGAAACCGGACAGCAGCCGCCAGTTTACTCTTGCTGTAACAAATTTAAAATGCAATGGGGAAATTTCCTTTTCAGATCCAAATGACAAATTCAAACAATTTTAATTGTATTTGACTTTCTGCAACACACAAAAGAAATAAACTGTTTAAAAATCTATCCTTTGCACTCCTGCAGTACTTCAAGAGGCAAGCTTATTTCTATAAAAATATATATATATATATATATATATATTACACAATAGAAAGCCAGTCATGTGAGCAGTCTGAATTTCTCAGTGTCATGGTGGTGCAAGGTCCATCTGCTACAGCACCAACCTAAACTGGGAGGTTCTGCACATGCAGACTGATCTTTCATTTTACAAGACTGTGGTTGCTCTTTTGCATTACCAGGAGAATAAGTCATTGAGGTATAGTTAATGGACTGTGCTACTTGACGCTTCTTCTAGTCTGCCGATCACTTCAAGCGATTCGAACAGTTACTCATTCACCCACTGAAAGGAGCTACCATACACGAGTCCCAGTTACAGGACCCATGTTGGGGTCAAGTGTCTTGCCAAAGGAGACACAGGTTAGCAGCACCTGGGATCAAAACCTCCAATTGGACAACACGTGCTCTCCACCCACCAGCAGTCGCCCCAAATTCTACAAAGTTGCTGTGCAGGATTGACGATGCACTGCAGTTTGTATTTAAAACAATTGAGGGTAGGCACCGACTCGGATTGTAGGTTGTGGTAATTTATACAAAAATCTGGCCTGAAACGGTATTTCAGTCAGATGTGCAAAAGCTAATCCTGATTCAGTTCACAAAACCTGTTTAATATGAATATTAAATTTCCTTTTTTTGTCAATGCTCATTTCTGGGACCTTTTTTACGACGTTTTTGAAAGTTTCATTTTTGAATGGCGATGGGATTGAAGGGAGACCTTGGAAGAGGATCGTTCCATTTGGGCCCACAGAGGGCTGTTCCTTGGCCCATCATCCAGCCAGCAACGCAGTTTTTCAATGTTGCAGGCCCAATAGTATTGGATGAAATTAGGCAATCTCAATCCACCTAACTTTTTAGGAAGTTGTAAGATTGCTTTCTTAATGCGAGGCAGTTTTATTAGCTCATAGGGATGTAGAGATGGTCTGATCAAGTTGGTGAAAAAATTATTTCTTATAGTTTGGAATATGTTGAAACGGATTTACCATTTTTATGAGGTTGATGCGGCCAATTGGGGACTGGGAGAGCAGACCAGCGGGTCATCGGATTTACAGTTGTCAACAAGACAACTTTTTGCCAAAGAGATTGTTAATTGATGGTGTGACGACCACCCCGAGGTATCTAAATCCTTCAATGGTCACCTTAAATGGAAAAGTAGATTTTGGTAGTGCCTTGGCTGATTTATGGGGAGAAGCTCACTTTTATGAAAGTTTAATTTATAGCCACAATATTTTCCAAATTCACGTAGAATGTCTTTGACGACCGAAAGGGATGAGACAGGATTAGACACATACAGCAAGAGGTCATCCGCATAAAGTAATAGCCTGGACGTAATAGCCGGAGCCATAGAGGTTCAATAATCAAACCGAATAGAAGGGGTGAGAATGGAGGCAGTCGGAGAATTATATAGCAACTCGATACAGGCTATAGTCTGGGTTAAACTCAAACCTTTCTAAAATATAGTTTAGGTACTTTCACTGGACTATGTCAAAGTCTTTTTCTGCATCTGAAGATAATATTGCCTCAGGGGTGATTTGGGGAGCCGACTATGTTAAGCAGCCGCCTAGTATTGAATGAGGAGCTTCGTCCTGCCATGGAGCCTGTTTGTCTGATCAGAGATGGTAGAACTTTCTGAAGACGTATAGATAAAACCTTGGCTAAGATTTTCTGGTCAACGTTCAAAAGGGATATGGGCCTGTAATTGTCACATACGGGGTCTTTAGTAAACAAATTGTGGCTTCAGATAGCGTTGGGGGTAACCTTCCCTTTGTAAATGATTCATTATATACTTTTGTCAGCAGAGGAGACTAGTTCGGAGCATGTTTTGTAAAATTCTGGTGACTTGCCATTTTGTAGTAGTTTTAATAGCCTCCTGCACTTCCATCATCGAGATTGTAACTCCAAGATTGTCAGGTAGGTCTTCACTGATTTTAGGGAATGGGATAGAGACCAAAGGGTTGTGCCCCCTCCAAGCTTCAGGTGGTTGATACAGCATGTTGCTTGATGCATTGATTGTAAAGTGCAGAGGTAGGAGCTAGCATATTCTGAATCAACCTTCTTAAAAGGTTGGATATCTCTAGTGCAGGGGTCACCAAACTTTTTTCTCTGGGGGCCACATTATCGTTCCGGACTGTGATGGGGGGCCGAGTCAGCTATACAATAAAGAATTGTATGACCCAGATCAAAATGACCACTAGCAGGCCTCATTGTGTAGTAGAGATTACTTGCCTCGCACAGCCATCCCCACTACTATATCCCCACTTCTATATCAACACTTGATTCCTGGCACATATTTGTTTATCTTCACTAGTGGTTTGCAAAAGTAGTAATTGAGTCTTGACACTTTGTTTTATTTTGAAATATCACAGATATTCCATTTATTTATTTTCAAATGAAAATAACATCAAAGCTGTCAAGGTAAGAAACATCTGACTTGTTGAGGTGATTGACACTGGCAAACGGGAGTGAAAAATTATAAATTATAGGTAGGCCTGTTGATATTAATATTAATAAGTATGTGCAGCACTTAACAAAGGTCAAATAAATAGGCTTATAAAATGTATTCATTATTTAAAAAAACATTGAAATTATAATAACACGAGTAATAGAACAACTAGCCAGCTCTTATGCCTATCCAGGTGAGCATGTTCAGTAAACATTTTTTAGGTCAAGGGGAAAATGAGCAGTAGGCTCAAAACTAAAGCACAACCATAATACAGAATAATGGCAATCAAAATCAGTAGTATATGTAAGTGATTGTTGATGAATCGTGAGGGCGGCACGGTGGCGCGGTGGTTAGCACTGTCGCCTCACAGCAAGAAGGTCCTGGGTTTGATTC